AAGTCCTAGGGGATGAGGCGTATCTAGACTAACCATAAAACGAGCGAACAACTCGAGTTGGGAAGGGGTAGCGTACCGGGAGCAATACTTCTCCGGCTTAACTACTGGACCCTCCCCGTTCTTAAATATGGGTGACTAATAATCCTTCACCGGGAGCCCAGGCCCACCGGTTTTATCTCAACAAAGAATGGGGTGCGTATCCGCGATTCCCGAGGTTGTATTCAGAAGACTCAAAGGGGGTGCACAAGAAGACAATTTATAAAACAGTTCAACAATATCAAAGCGGTAAAGAGCAAGCAAGTAGCACATTATGCCCAAATAGATCACAATTATATACAAAAAATTAATAAACCCAAATAAAGTCAATGTACAAGCTCGAATTCTTGAGTACGCCCCAGCGGAGTCGCCAGAGCTGTCACACCCCTTTTTACCCCTCCAAGAGATAAGTGTAAAATGTTAAGGATTGTGGGTTAAAAAACTTTTCCAATTAAAGTGACAAATTTGAAATAGGGATTATTTTATTTACAGAGTCGCCACTTGGAATTGATTTCTATTGGTGTTCCAAGTCACCTTTTATGAATCCCTATTCAAAGGAAAGTTTAACTCTATTATTATTGGTCTGCAAAAAACAAAGTCCGGGTAAGGAATTCTATTGACCGGGGAGAAGGTGTAAGGCATTCCCTGAGTCCCGTGGTTCTAGCACGGTCGCTTTATTGACTACATTTGGCTTGAATTAAACTTGGATAAACTGTGGTTTATTTGATTTTTATGCTTTTCTTATGTCCGTTTTTATTTATTTTTTAAAAAAAATTAAGGAAAAGATTTGAATAATAATCTACAACTTAACTAGTGAGAGAAAATTATTGTTATGAGTACTAATTTAAAAGGTGAGAGTAATGAGAGAAAATTATCAATTGACATTGCTTAAAACTAGTAAGATGTGAGCTTGTCTTGACATTGAATGAGGCAGCCCACTATTGGGTTGATGGAGTCAAACGGGCTCATGTCCAAGACAAAATCCAAAAGCCCATATGCTTTTGGACTTTAAATCTGCAGATATGGCCTTTTAAAGCTATGTTACAGATTTGGCCATATCTTGCTATTTGCAATCCGTAGCCAACTATTTACAAAAATAAGTTTACAGATTGTCTTTCTAATCTACAACTTAACTACCTNATTATAGCTACTGAGTTTTTCTCTTTTTTGTGTGTCTAGCGCTCCCTCAATAAGATGGAGTGTCCTCATTTTATATCAAAACAATCAGCTATTTAAAAAAAATTAAAAATCAATCTTTTTGACAGATTTTTCTACAAAATCCGCTCTTAAATTCAAAATGCCAAACTTTCTGGTTCAAATCTTGTCAAGTATTTCAAACAAAATCTGCTCTCCACTATTCAAAGACAGACTTTTATTTAAACACTGTCCAAAGGTCTACATTTTCTTACCAAACAATTTGACTTTTGAGTGTTGTACTCAAAGAGTCTTGAAGTAGTAAATAAACAATCAAACAAGTACCATATACTCTTAAGTATTTTTCACTACCTCACTTTTATCAACACAAAACTATTTTACTACTTCAACAAGTGCAAAAACAGAAAATTTGACATTTCAAACTTCAAAAACTAATGCTAAAATAATTAATAATAGACAAAAATAAGATCTGAAAAAATAAAAATAAAATAAAAAATCAGCCACGAAAAATAATAGAATTTTTACCATTTTATAATTCAAGTGGCCGAAAAAATGGTGGTATGCCAAAAGAGGGTGTTCGGGGAGGTCGCCGGAATTTGGCCGGATTTTGATCGCCGGATTTTCATGGTGAAATTGGCATCAATAGCTAGGTCTTGAGGAGCTCTATCCATTGATTAAGTATTGTGGGGTGGTAGTGGTTGGAGCTTCAAGAATTTGGGCAAAAAAGTGACGGAAAAGTTTCCTAGATCTAAGATTCAAGGAGTTTGAGGGATTTTTGAAGGATTTGGTTTGGAGATATGGAAGGAGGAAGTTGTGGAGATTACATGGTATGAATTTGGAGGTGGTCCGCCGGAGGCGGTGGGCGGAGCTGGGGCGGCGTAGAGAGAGTGAAGAGAGAGAGAAGAGAGAAGAAGGAAAAAAGAATTATGGGTGAAGATGAGGACAATTTTCAGATTTTTGAGGCTTTAAATACCTAAGCCAAGAGTCAATGAGATCCATTGGATCAAGATGGAATGGATGAGAATGATTTGATCTTGTTTCATTCAGTGAAACGACGTAGTTTTAAGGCAAAACTATGTAGTTTCAGACCCTTTCAGTGGCAGCCCTTTATCTTGCACTCTTGGACACTTTTTCTTTCAAATTTGGCCAAATTTCTTTCTTAATCCTACTTATTAAACTAATTTTACACAAATAAATTAATTAAATAACCTATTCTAATGATCAATTAACTAGATTAATTCACCAACTGAACAGCTAGTTAATTCTTAAAATGCACAAATGAAGAAAGGACTATTATTTTAGTATTTTATGATAGAAAATATGCAATTAAAATTACAAAAATTGAGAAAAATAATTAAAATAACAAAATACTAATAACTTTAGGAGGTGTTAAATAGTGCAAAAATTAGGTGTTCACATTATGGATGCATGAAATTTCCTTAGTAGTGTATACATTAATTATGGTTGTCCGTAATGTGGTGTACACATGTAAGACTTGAGCGTTGTCTAAAATGAATCTTCTATCGAAGATTACGATATACTTGCAAAATTAACACTTTTTAAATCAATACTGCAATTATATTGGTATACGATAGATAAGCAAAAATAATCTTAGAATAAACATTTAGTACCGCATCATTCCTTGTTTGGTTATTAATCTTAGGATAAATTATTTCAGAATTAAAAATAATACCGAGATAACTTACACCTCTAAAATTGTGAAATAGTAATTCCAGGATAAATATATTTCGGGGTACAACAATAAATTTAACAATCTCAGAATTAATCAATAAAAAATAATAATAGCTAGGAAACTAATCCTAGTATAATTTATATTCAAATCAAACTACCCTAGAGTGCTGAAATGTTTCAGTGGCAAAATAGTGAATTTCTTATTTATCCAAATATCTTGTTGGAAACAAGAGAAAACTGTCATCGAAATGGACCTTGAATTATCACGTATCACTAAGGGGTCGTTTGGTAGGGTGTATAAGAATAATGCAGAAAAAGGTGTATTAGTAATGTATGGATTTGTAATGCATGAATTAATAATACAAGCATTAGTTATGCAAATATTATTTCTTATCTATTGTTTGGTGTGGTGTATTAAAATTATAATGCATTGCATAATTTTTAAGAAAAATAGTTGCTTACAAAAATGCACTTTCCACTTCTGACCAAGAGGTTGTGAGTTCGAGTCACCCCAAGAGCAAGATGGGGAGTTCTTGTAGGGAAGGATGTCGAGGGTCTATTTGAAACAACCTCTCTACCCTAGGGTAGGGGTAAGGTCTGCGTACACACTACCCTCCCCAGACCCCACTAGTGGGATTATACTAGGTTATTGTTGTTGTAGTAGTTGCTTACAAAAATGTCCTCCATATTCTCTAGCTTTAAGGGACTTTAAGGACAATTTTGTCTTTAACCATGCTAATACATGCATTAAAGCCTTGGTATTACTAATGTCATGGTTTTCTATGCATTACTTATACATAGGATAATGCCAAGTATGATGTATAACTAATACTTGCACAAGTTAAAAAAATGTACCAAACAAGGTATTAGTAATGCATAGAACTAATGCTTGATTATTTTTTCTAATATCTCCTACCAAACGACCCCTAAAAACAAATGGTTACCGCAATCTCTGCAAGTGGCTATTTTTACTTGGTAAAAATCACTAGTTTTTTTTTTTGGAAAAACTACGCTGCACTTTAAATATTTACACTATTTTTATCATTTATAACTATACTTTCAGTAAATTTATTGTTCGTAGTTATATTTGAATTTTACAACAAATCTATAAAATAAGAGATTAATTATTTTTAACTGAAATAAGAGGACCACAAGCTCTCATATTGTTGCTCTCATAGCTTAGTTGGTTAGCGCTCCTGCTTAGCTAGTAAAGGTCTTGAGTTAGAATCTCATACAAGTTGTATTCGTTGCGCGATTGAATACAATTGTCATAGGCTGTATTCGTTGCGCGTTTTGAATACAAGTGATACTAGTTAGCAATAATTGAACAGTAGCTACGAATAATAGTTAGGCAAATTATAGTTATTAGGCTCTAAACTATAGTGGTTATGAATTTTTTTCTCTTTTCTTATAATCATTTGCTATGTAAAACCCACTCACCTAAGAGGGCCCATTAAAGAGGAATCACTTCCTATTAGGATATTATTATTTCAATATTAGCACGAACTCGATACATCTGGTTATAGAGAGATCTATCCATTTTATCGTTAAATTTTGCACCAACCGAGAAAAAGATCATTAGTTTCGAAGCTTCATGAGAAGTTATATATAACAATACTATAAATAGGGGGGAAATCTGAAATAGCCAGATTTACAATCCGTAATAGGCACAATTTCAAAAACAATTAAAATCTAGCAACTTTTTCATGTAAAGATATAATCTGAACAAAAACATCCTTGAAAATCCAAATTTTCAGCATAATATGCTGGAGTTCGAATTTCTTTACATATGATATTCAGTATAATATGCTGGAATTTCTTGATGTGTTGGAGTTCCTACATAATATGCGAAGAAGTTTAAATGGAGGAGATCCATAATCTAGCATATATATTATGTTGGAATTGCCCGTGCTGGAGTTCTAACATAATATGCTGAAAGTTTATATGCAGGAGCTCCATAATCTAACATATTGTGCTGGAATTATTCGTGTTTTAGCAGAAGTGATTATATTTTAATGACTTTGCAAATGCTTACTATTTTTCGATTACCAATTCAAAAACTGGCTAGGCCGTACTATTTTCACTTATAAATATGTAGGGTGACAAGCATAAAGGAAAAACCCATTTCCAATAAGTAGTGTTTGTATACTATTTCTCACCAATGGCGCCCAAAACACCTCCTCTTCCTCTCTACGAAATTAAGTATCGAAAAAACGTTATTTCAAGAGGAATAGAACTCTTCATTCTTTTCCTATTGTTCTCACTCTTAGCCTATAGACTCCTCTCTCTTAAAAACCATGGTTTAAATTTGCCATTCTTCTTAGCTCTTATATGTGAATCATGGTTCACTTTCCTTTGGATTCTCATAGTCAGCACCAAATGGAATCAAGTCGAACCAAAAACATATCCTCTTCGCCTTTTGAAATGGTAATATATACCGCTATCTATCTTTACGATGGGTTTTAAATTTATTTATTTGGAATTTAACTTATATACATCGACAATATAAATGTGCAGGACGTCAGAGTTTCCTGCAGTGGACATGTTCATTACAACTGCAGATCCCGTCCTAGAGCCGCCTCTTATAACAGTAAACACAATGTTATCATTATTAGCAGTGGATTATCCAGCTAATAAGCTAGCTTGTTATATATCTGATGATGGTGCATCTCCTATTACCTATTATTCACTTGTTGAAGCAGCTAAATTTGCTAAGCTTTGGGTTCCTTTTTGTAAGAAGTATAATATTGCACTTAGAGCCCCTTTTCGTTATTTTAATGCCAACTTATCGCCACCCCAAGATAGTTCACAAGGGTTCCTGGAAGATTGGAAAAGGATGAAGGTATGTTAATTAATTAGAGTATTTATTTTATACTATTTTTTAACCCAACTTTAATTTCTAGGAGTATTTCTTTTCAAGGAACTTTTGGTTATAAAAAAGATTTATATTTTGACTTAATACGTTTTCGTTTTTCAACTATGACTTAATACTTTAATATTTGCATCTTTTAATTTTTTCCAATTTTATATTTTTTAATACATCTTGTAGTGTGTTTTTCTGGTTTGGAAGTTGCAGGAAGTCTAAGGTTTATAATAATACAAATTGTCTAACTCTTCTCTAAATTATTTTATTACTCCCTCCATTTCGATTTAAGTGATATTGTTTTTATCGTCCATTTAAAAAAGAATGAACCCTTTTTAAATTTAAAAATAATTAAACTAATTAAACTTTCCATTTTATCTAATGAGTAGCGTTTTCAGTCATATATATGTTATGATATGTTAGAATTGTAAGTAGTAAATTCTTAAAGTCACACAAATGTTAAGACATATTTAAGAACACAATTTACCAAAAATCGTTATTTATTTCGTAGACTTCGTGATTAATCATAGGTTCATATAAATTAATGGAGTAACTTTTGACACTTAAATAAATTATTGGGATGTATTTTGGAAATAGTTTTATAATTTCCAATTTTTGCTCGTCAATTAAAGATGCATTGATATTTACCTATAGAAGGTACTTCCTAAAATTAATTGTCTAGATACATATAGATATAGTAGCCAATAATGAACTGGACCTCTGCAAATATATATATATATATATATATATATACATGCATCATCATTTGATTTACAAGCATGCACAAGTACTTTTCATTATTATTNAAAGTAGTACGTTGCTGCAAATATAAAAGAAGAATTGCTAGTACTGGTGTAATAATTGTGTTATAAGTAGTAAATACTTTTTGTCTGGAAATGGCAGGATGAATATAAACAGCTGTGTGAAAAGATAGAAGATGCAAGTACACAAGATTCAGAGGCATGTGATTTTGCAGGAGATTTTGGTGTTTTCTCAAAAATTGAACGCAAAAACCATCCGACCATTATAAAGGTTTTTCATTTATTTATTTATGTTTCTTGTTCTTTTCTTTCTTTGGGAACGTTTTCATTTCCTCTTTCTAATTCAAAAATATCACAAGAAGACAAAGAAAATATTGCAATAATTCAATATACTCGCAGAATTTTTTTTCTATTAAGCTTTACGTTTATTCTTTTGTTTCCACTTGATATTCGGTATTCGTATTAGGGCAACAACTAATCTAATTTTGTGTCCCATAAGACTCATTAAAGGAGAAGTGTTTCACTTTCAATTTTTTTCTATTTATAAGGCTCAAACCCGAAATTTCTAATAAAAGATGAAAGGATCTTATTTATCCATCACAATCATTACTTAATTTTATATGTATTTCTCACATTTAGCTGAAGTACTCTATCTCCCTGTGCTTTGTCATTTTCGGTCAACTTCGATTAGAACAACTCAATTTGCAATTTTGCATACGCATCCTCACGATGAAATGCGTATCTCCCTATTCGTCTTCATGACATTTTCCTTTTGTTTCCCCGTTCGGAAAAAAATTCCTTTTTTCCGTATTCCTTATTCTCAAATTAAAACTAGACCTCTAATATAAAGATTTATATAAACGATATCAATTTATGAGAATTTATTTTGGTTATGTTAATATGTTTAGTTTAGGTTCAATATTTATTAAGAGTCTTTTAGCCACTATAAATATTTATGCTAGTATGAATATAGAGAACTTTTTGTACTTTTTCATTTTCTTTTATTTTTCTAAATTATTGACTTGAAATGAATTTAAATAGCGAATAAGACCAGTGAGTTAATCCTTAGTTGTCTAGGATTGGAACGTATAAGCAGTTGTTATTGATTATACCTCAAAATAAAATCTAGTCCGAATGACATGAACAATTATAATATGAGGATGTATAAGTTCTCTGCACTAATAAAGAGTAATATTTTTATACCATCAGATTAAGATACTTGCAATAATATATGTAGACAATAAAATTTGTATCAAGAAAATAATTGAAATTGAAAAATATTGTAATATAGTATTTTGTTTCTAATTAATATGAATGTACATGATCTTTATGATTCTCTGAATTTTCTTTTCAAAGAATAAATTCAAGGTTTTTCGAGCTTGATTTTGAATCTATATAGTTGACAGGAACAAAATTTAAACGCTTACAATATGTATATTGTTACAATATGTATATAACAATTTAACTTGTTATATTATATTGTATTAATATTCATTGTATAGTAATTTCAAGTTGTTATGTATGAAATTAAGGTAATATTGGAAAACAAGGAGGGTATTGCTGATGGCTTGCCTCACCTTGTCTACATCTCAAGAGAGAAGCGTCCAAAGCATCCCCATCACTTCAAAGCTGGCGCCATGAATGTTCTGGTTTATATCATATCAATTTTTCGGTTACTCTATTAATTAATTTTTGCTTTTTTCGGTTGATTTATTTTGTGTATTTGACGTGTTTGTATTGGTGACAAACAGACTAGAGTCTCTGGATTGATGACAAATGCTCCATTTATGCTGAATGTGGATTGTGATATGTTTGCAAATAACCCACAAGTTGTTCAACATGCTATGTGTTATTTTCTTGGTGCTAAGGATGAAAAAGATTGTGGTTTTGTTCAATTTCCACAATACTTCTACGATGGATTGAAAGATGATCCTTATGGTAATCAATTCAAACTCTTACACGAGGTAAATAATTCTCATTTTTATAGCATATGTATTCAAATGGGAAAAAAAATGAATCATTTAATAATACATTCTAAGACTCAACTTTCATTAAAAACATAAAGAGAAGCCTTGGAGCAAATATAAGTTATCTTCGTGTCTACAGATCACGGGTTCGAGTCATGGAATCAGCTAGTAATACTTGTATTAGAGTAAGCTTCTTACATCACATCATATTTCCTTAGGGTTCAGCCTTTTCGCGAATCTTGTATAAACGTAAAATGCTTCGTGCGCCGAGCTGCTTTTTATTTATTTATTTATTCTGAGACTCAAGTTTCATAAAAAAAACATGAATCATTTATCAATACATTCTAAGACTCAACTTTCATGGGCCATTATATGTTTTCTTCATTCATTTTTTTAATATATATTCTTTAATACTACATTCTAAGACTGAACTTTCATGGGTCATTAATTATATGTTTTTTTATTCATTTTTTTTTAATTTACATTTGTCTTCTGCTTGGTAGTATTTTGGAAGAGGAATTGCTGGAATTCAAGGGCCATTTTATCAAGGAACAGGATGTTTCCACAGACGAAAAATTATATATGGCTTGTCACCAAATGATAAAATAAATACTGGTATGCAAACTAATTAATTAAGTCGTTGTCCTTTTATTTTTTGGCACGCCTTTCGTTTATATGACATCTAAACAATGTTTTACTAGTAGAATTTTTTTTCAAGGAGTTTATTTTACAGTTGCAAGGACATAACGCTATAACATTAAACAGATCTACTGCTTAATATAAATCTTATTTCATGATAATTAGGAGAATTGAGGGATGAGTATCTGCAGAAAACTTATGGAAAATCACAGAAGTTATTAGCATCGGTTGCTCAAACTCTATCAGCAGGATCAAATATTATTGAGCAACTTAATTCTGATTCTCTCTCGAGTACCATTGAGGAAGCACACCAAATTGGAAGCTGTGGATATGAATTTGGTACTGCCTGGGGTCAAAAGGTAAGTAGAAATTATTCGTTTTAACTGATTATAATAAGTAAAATTAATAATTTGACAAATATAATTATATACATTAACAATTCAATGGATTTTTACACCATCAATGTAGCTTAATATATTGTATTATTCAAGTCAAATATCAATACTACTGAATAGAGTTGCCTACAATTTACTTTTTAAATGACCTAATTGAGTAAATTACTTACATCGTTGGTGCATAGAACTTACACATACTTGTATAATAAGATAAACAACTTGCTATCGCATGTCAAATTATATTGATAATATAAAAAAAGTTTACTTTGTGTAGCATCAACTTGATTACTTTAGAGAATTTTTATAAAGCACTATAATTTAGAGCCTAATTATCATATAATTACCATACTGCTCAATTATCCGCGTAATTTCTCCATTATTTTACTGTAGAATGTAGAATTTCTCATCTGGGTCTAAATGTCTCAGTTGGGCTGGCTATATGGATCTGCAACAGAGGATATCCACACTGGGCTTTCTATCCACGGGAGAGGCTGGAGATCCGCTTACTGTACACCCGACCCGCCTGCTTTTCTTGGATGTGCACCATCAGGTGGGCCGGCCATAATGATCCAACAGAAGAGATGGGCTACTGGGCTTTTTGAAATTATTTTCTTCAGTAAAAGCCCAATTATCGGAACTCTTTTTGGAAAGCTTCAATTGAGACAATGCATGGCTTACTTGTATATCCAACTATGGGCCTTGAGATCCATTTTTGAAGTTTGCTATGCTATTCTGCCTGCCTATTGCCTGATCACCAATTCCAACTTTTTACCCAAGGTGAGAATATTGGGCCTCCTATTACACATATCTTTGAAAATTTTACGGGCTAGCCATTTTTTGACCAGCTTTTAAAAAATAGCCTTTGTTTGAAAATCGTTGAAAAATAACTAATTTTAATGCGAAAATATCATGACAGTGTCATGAATTTCGAACTTAAATGAGTGAAAAATCAAGGATACTGTCCTGATTTTTGAAATCCATATATTTCAAACTTTAAAAATGTCATCATGACAATGTTCTAGACATGGAGTTTGTCGCAACTTATGGATTTACATGCAATTATATATTTATTATTTTAAAATCTTGAGATGAGGGTCTATCGGAAACAACCTCTCTATCTCACACAAGTTAAGAGTAAAGTCTGTGTACATTCCATATTCCCCAAATCCCAGATCACACCGGGTATGTTGTTGTTGTTATCTCAAAAAGTTATTCTTTATCAGCTTCATTTGCTACATGTGCAGGCAAATGAACCAAGTATGACTATACCAGCATCAATATTTATCATCTACAATCTATATGGTTTATCAGAGTATGTTAGAGCAAATGAGTCAATTAAAGCATGGTTAAACAATCAAAGAATGTGGAGAGTCAATGCTATGACTGCATGGCTATTTGGGATTCTAAGTGCTACAACAAAATTACTTGGAATTTCTGAGACTGCATTTGAAGTTACAAAAAAAGACCAAGGTAATGATGGAGATGACACAAATAATTCTAATAGTGGAAGGTTCACATTTGATGATTCACCAATATTTGTTCCTGGCACTGCAATTCTCTTATTGAACCTTAGTTCCTTGTTCATTGGGATTTTAGATTTCAAACAAGGGAGAGATTTTGAATGGGGATTAGGAGAGGTTATATGCATTATGTGGGTACTTTTCATATTTTGGCCATTCTTGAAAGGGTTATTTGCTAAAGGGAAGTATGGGATTCCAGCAACAACTATTCTCAAGTCAGGGGCATTGGCATTGTTGTTAGTTCATCTTTTCAAGTTTTACCAATAAGTTGTAAATTTTAGTTCTTACATTTTGAATGCTCAAATTTCAATAGCATATATAAGTTTAATTATGTACTCCCTTCATCCAAAGTTATATGATGTAGTTTTCTTTTTAGTCCGTTTCAAAAACAATAATATCTTTCTATATTTGAAACTAATTTTAAACTTTTTTATTTTTTCCTTAATGAGATAATTTACAGTCACACACATATCTACGACTTATTTTAGACCACCGATCTAAAAAAGTTCTTTCATTTTTAAATTTTATGTTCAACAAACCGCGTCACATAAATCGAATAAAGGAAGTAACTTGTTGCTCTTGCAGATGGTTGAACAAAACAAAGTCTGAAAAGATAAGACTAAATAGCAGTCAATAAGAAACAAGGGTGGATTAAGATTTTAATCAATAAATACAAAATGTCACTATATTTACTTATACTTTTTGATGGTTAGAGTAAACTTAATATAAACACATTTATTCCTAAATATTGTTAATTACACCCTATGACCAAATACTATATCAGCCCTTGGTCATAAATGAAAGACCTAAAATAANATATATATATACCTCTTTGAAAATAATGATGTAATGAATGTTTTCTTGTTTCAAGATTATACGTGCAATGTATGAATTTGATAGTTAACAAAATTTTATCAATCCATCTCAGATTATATAGGGGTTATATTTATGAGACGGCGGGTTAATAAAATGGTCAAGAGTTAGATCATTTAAATAATCCAAAAATATCTACCTCCTAAACCCCTTCGTCACATTTTGTACAACGGGTTTTAATTGAACACATAGTTCAAAATTCTAATTTAATTTAAGTATTGGAGTTTTATCTAATAAAATGAAGAGGTGTGCTTCCCAGATCTCATTTCTTTGGGATGTAANAAAGATGTGTGAATGGAAAATGGAGGGAAACCAAAAGTTTGAAGTTGTAAATGGTAATGTATGTTCATATTAAATGCTCGCATAATAAAGCGACACGTTAAGCCGAATGAAGATGGAAAGCGAGGCAAATAGCAATCAGGTCTGAAGGCAATAATCTCTTTTGTTCCTAAAGGGAATGATACTCATAAAGGCAAAATAAATGCATGTCACCTGGTTGCATTTAATGGAGAATATTCTATAGCATTAAGTATGTAGTCTATTACAGAGAATATGACATTCATAGCCTACTGTTACACATTCTTCAATGGACCCCATAATTGTTATTTAAGAGGTGTTTGATCCTAGGACCTTGTTCCCTAAGAACAAATATAAATAGTAAGCTCAACAACCATTGTATAGGGAAGGAATTTTATGACAAGCTCATAATATACACTGTTCAGAGTTCAATAATATTTTATCTTCTTGCTTATTAATATCGTTACTATTGCCTCTGGAAGCTCTACTCCCCAAACTAGAATTTCTACCGTCTTATCTCGATTTCGACGCTAAGTCTTACATTCTTATTTAATTTATTTGCCATTTTGGGATCAAATCGATTCACTTGTCTATAAACCACGTATAAATTCAACGATACCGTTTTACGGGTAAACAATTTGGCATCCACCGAGGGGCTTAGACAGTTGTGTAATTGAGTTGATCCTTACATCTATTACATAGGGGGATAAGGCCACGCTAGTCCATGGTGGGCAATATCCACGGCGTGTTCGAGAGGCAACTCCTAATGATGCTGAAGAAGAGCACGTCGCTGAAACAATACGGATCCTGAAGGAGCAACAAAAAGCCATTATGGGCCACTTCTCACGACATGAACAAGTCATGATGGAGTTGAGGTAGGCGTTATCGGGTGCTTTCAACAATGTGAATGGATGAGGTCCAGTTCCTCCTACAAACCAAACAACATAGAGAGTCGACAACAGCACCCCGAGGGGCGAAGTCGGCTTCGACAGGGCTGGGGGAATGGTAGCGAATCCGGTAAAAACAATGAGAATGATCCCTTTAAAACCAAACTCATGCAGTTTATAAGGGAAATAAATGCCGAATGGATCAAATTCCAAGCTCACCACCAGTGTTGAAAGGTTTGAACTTAAAGAAATACACCCAGTTGTCGTTCAAACCAAGCGCGTCACCAGAATTGATCCCGAAGCAGTTCAAAATGCCTAACATGCCAAAGTATGATGGGACTTTAGATCCTCAGGAGCACATCACCACCTATACAATGGCAGTGAATGTGAATGATTTAGTTCCACACAGGATTGAATCAGCCTTACTGAAGAAATTCGGGGAGACCCTTACGAAATGGCCCTCACATGGTATTCGCTCTTGCCCTAGCACTCAATAGATTCCTTCGAGATACTTGTGAATTCTTTTATCAAGGTCCATGCCATGGCCAGAAAGGTACAAGCCCGAAAGGCCGACATATTCAGGATTGTACCAGGAGAGTTGGAATTGATGTCGGGGTTCGTGACCAGATTCCAAAAAGAAAGGATGCTACTACCAGCCATACAAGAGGAATGGGCAACTGAAACATTTACTAAAGGGCTGTATCCGAGAAGCTCCAATGCTTCCCAAAAATTAAAAGAAAGTCTGCTCGAGTTTCAGGCAACAACATAGGTGGGTGTTCACAACTGGTACGAGTCAAAGACAAAAATTGAGGATGATTAGCTCGGTTTCCTGGCATCAACTAAGGGTCGGGACCGGGAGAAGAATAAGGAAAAATCAAAGGATGATTTTGACACAGATCGACGATCTTCGAGAGGTCGGTTCTTGCCCTATGAAAGGGTCAAGGGATGCAGCATAGGTTTCCGATCGGTGGATATATTCGCTATTGATAAGATAGTGGATCGTGGCCGGAATAATAGATCATTGCAGGACAAGGAGATATCGGGTTCTCGAGATTCCTCCTACCCCAAGCTATCCCAATACAACTTCAATGTTAGTGTAATGAAACTAGTGTCGACTATGAGGAACATTAAGGAGGCACACCCATAGACAATGAGATCTGATCCCAATTAGATGGATACTAATTTATTATGCGAATACCATAAGACAACAACCATCGGACAGGGGACTGCCGGCACTTGCGCGATGAGGTGGCGACATTGCTTAAGAATGGCCATCTTAGAGAATTCTTAAGCGACCGGGCTAAAATCAACTACGGCCGCAATCGTGATATCGTGGAACCCTCGAAAGAAGGAGAAAACCCTCCTCATTTGACGATCAACATGATTTTCGGGGGGAATGAGATTAATGGTGTGACATTTTCGGTGGCAAAAAATACAAAGATATCAGTAACCCACAGTAAGAGACTCCGAGAATTCATTGAGGATGATATTAATTTCATGGAGGAAGACACAGATGGACTACTGCTGCCGCACAACGATGCCTTGGCAATCTCTCTTAATTTATTATATTTAAAATTAAACGTGTTTTGATGGATCCAGGAAGTTCGGCCAATATTATCCAGTGGAGAGTGCTGGAGCAAGCTAAGCTGACTGGAAGTATCATTCCAGCAACAAAACTCCTCGTTGGGTTCAATTTGGCAAGTGTGACTACCCGATGGGAGATTTTGCTGCCTACAAATGTCGAGGGGATAATGAAAAATGACCCTTTTTGAAGTAGTAGATGGTGATATAGGCTATAATATTATTCTGTGGAGATCGTGGTTGGATGAGATGAAGTCTGTACCTTCAACATACCATCAATTACAGAAATTCCCAACTCTCGAGAGAATTAAACAAATAAGAGGCGACCAAACCGACAACAAGAGAGATGAACGCAATCTCAGTTTCCAGTAGCAAAGGTAAGGAGCATGCAACATAGCAATTACAAGAAACGATGCTTGCTCTCAAATGGGCGAAGTCAACCAGGGGAGGAGTCGTCAAAATCCTATCAGGTACCAAGATATTTCCAGGTACCAGAAGAAACATACACAACTGTAATACACCGTAAATTCGGATTAGGTGTGAACGTGTTAAATGAATATTCGTATGACATTTTAGACATATGAAGTCCTATTGGTATGATTATGGGTGGAAATAGTTGTTTTGGAATCAAGACAGAGAGTGAGGTGCATAAGATTCGACAACTATTGACTAAGTTTATGGAAGGTCTGTCTTCTAGCCTAATTTTGTGAAATCGTGTTAGTAATTTAAGAAAACTTAAAACACCAACGTTTTATCCCTTTGAAATACCTTTCAAATAATATATTGTGGAGCATTAACAGATCTCTGTGCAAAAAGTTATGTATATTTTACTTAACGATGCACAGTATACACGCCCAGCTAATCCTGTGCGTGGCCTCGCACTTTTGGCAGTGCTACTGCCCTTGCTACACATTCAGGTGCACGTTTGGGCCTTCAGCTGCATAGAAGCACACCCGGAGGGTCACTTTAAAAGCCCTACTTCATTCCCCACACCCCAAAACATAAAAACTTGCTCTAGAAAGGGAGGTTCTCAAGAACCTAACTTCCTCCCATGTCCCTCCATCATTCAAAGTAAGTTTTAGTGATGGTTCAAAGTCAATTTTAATTCTCCAATACCATATTAACATGGTTAAACCCTTTAAATAATTAGATATCAATCGAGACATCATTGTTGAGAAAAGAAACTCTAGAACTCAAATTCAAGAGGATTGAACGTCAAAAGGTATCTGTAGCTTATGCACATATATATTGGGCTTGAGGCCATAGTTTATCAGATAAACTGGTGGTTCATCATTCAAAAGAGGGAGTATTCATATCCTTACTTCCTTTGCTCAGTTCAGTTATCAATTATCAGTTATCAGTTATCATTTCAGTTATCATATATGAGTTATCAGTTATCAATTATCAATTCAGCTTCAGTTTCAGTATTTATAATTTTTTGTTTCAGTTGTTTTACATACCAGTGCAATTCAAATGTACTGACGTTCCTTCTGCCGGGGCTTGCATCTCACGATACAGGTAATGATTTAAAAGTTGACGATTCAGAGCGCTAGGATTTCCGTACCAGCTATTTGGTGAGCCCTAGTTCTTTCGGGGCATTATCATTACTTTATATTCTTTTAGTCTTTACAGATAATTAGTGTTTTCAGTACTTTATTAGAGGCTTTATAGACTAGAGTAATAGTTAGATAGAGTCGCATGCTTTTCATGTTAAGCAATATTGACTACAGATATGTT